ACACACACACACACACACACGAACATACACACACTCACACACACACACATACACACTGGCACAAGGGCGAGCTAAAATGCGCGCTCACGCCCGCACACACAGACACGGACACAGACACCCATACACACACACACACAAATTTGTGTCATCAGTCCCGTGAAATTTACCTGTGGTTTTTGCTATTCATCAGGCGCCGTTGTTGTTAGAGAGCTGTGCAATGCTAACGCCCCTGACATTCCGAAGAACCTTTCATTTTTCTCAACAAAGCTTCAACAGTTCATGTACCTTTGGGACTTATGATATAATTATCTTTTTCCGCTCCTGATCACTTCGAGAGGTATAGCAATTAGCATAGCCTAGTATAGCATAGCACAGCTAGCGCAACACAACGCTAATAAAAAACAACACAAACAAATTCATACCGAAAAAAGCCTCACCAAATCAAAACAGAGAACATACCCCACCCTCTCCTTTTTCTCCAAGTCTCAGTAAAAAAACACCATAAAACGAACCCCTCCAGACGTCTCATCCCCCCCCCCCCCAGATTTTACAGGGAAGTTGACAGACTCTTACGGCCTGGAGGTTGCTTCTCCGTCATCGCCGTGAACCATCATGACATGCAAATAGAAGACGACGTGGTCCGAGCTATTAGAGATAAGGTCAGTCTTAGAGAAATGTACCGTTGTTTGTAGTGTAGCGGTTAGGACTGGTGCTTGGCTGTCGCATGCAAGAGACCCGAGTTCTATTCCCGAATGAGATAGAAAATTTAAATTGAGTATCTCAGTTTTTCTACAGACATATTGTATCCCTTTCAACTCATGTTGGCCCTGTCAAGCAGGATCGGAAGCCCGCATCTTAAATTATCTAAATCATCTGAATTACTTGGATGGTGGTGATGATTGGAAAAAGGGGGGGGGGGAGTGCGCACAAAAACAACAACAACAACAACATGATAAGTCCACAACTGTCTTGAAAAAAACACCTTTATAAATCATCAGTCCACATTTACAATTCACATAAATCTAATAAATTTCAGATGCACCCCCATCTTAGCAAGATGTATAACTTCTCTTCCTCCTAAAATGTTAAAGGTCATTATCAGTTCGTGATGTACAGGGTGATTAAAAAAAGAATGAACAGATTTTATAACGCAATAATTAAACAAGGAAAAGCAATGGGAAATCTAAGATAAGTCACACGTATTGTACCCATAGTCAAATTCTATTTTCTCTCTTTAAAAGTGTTCAAGGTGGCCATCACCATCAGCACAGGCAACGTCAATGCGACAACAGAATTCCTCCCACACGCATTTTAGCCTATCACGATCCACTGAGTTGATCGCTGTTGTTATTCAATGTTTAAGGTCATGGACGTTAGTGGGTAGCGGTGGGACATAAAAATGCGATCTTTTACGTTTCCCCACAAGAAAAAATCACACACGGTGAGGTCTGGGATCTGGCAGGCCAAGCACAGAGAGCAAGGTCTTGGGCTCCTTTTCGACCAGTCCATCGCTGGGGCTCGTTTTCATTTAAAAAAGCTCGAACCATCAGGTGCCGACGGGGAGGTGTTCCATCTTGTTGAAAAATGATGCCACTCGAATTATAGTTGCAATGATGTTGAGAGACAGTTTTAGAGCATATCGAGATAGGTTTGTCTTGTTACAGTGTCTCCTTCAACAGAAGAACAATGCGACGACATCTCCCCCCCCCCTCCTGTACCAGCTATTCAAAAGTTAGATGACCCCTCTTTCAAATGGTCAGTAACCCATTCCGTAGCGATGCTTTGGAAGCGAAGCAATGAGTCACAAAATCGGTTCATTCTTTTTTAATAGCCCTATAAAATTCTATAGCATCATCATCATCATCATCATCATCATCATCATCATCATCATCATCATCATCATCATCATCATCATCATCATCATCATTATTATTATTATTATTATTATTATTATTATTATTATTATTATTATTATTATTATTATTATTATTATTATTGTTAGTAGTAGTAGTAATATTACGATGATGACGATGACGTTGATTATTATTATTATTATTATTATTATTTTTATTATTATTATTATTATTATTATTATTATTATTATAATTTTTTAATAGTATTATTATTATTATTATTATTATTATTATTATTATTATTATTATTATTATTATTATTATTATTATTATTATTATTATTTTACTTACTTTTACTTTTTCATCCTCTGTTGCCGTTAAGCGTCGAGTGGAGATGCAGTTTTCTATGGTAGGCCAGCTCTGCAGCTCTTTCAGTTGTGATAATAATATTATGTTTTCTCAGGGTTTCCTTGACACCCTCGATCCGTCTTTTGCGTGGCCTTCCTCTTCCTTTGTAGCCGGAGTGCTTGGTGTTGTAGGCTCTCGAGGCTGGTTGCCAGGTGACATATGTAACAGGTGGCCATGCCATTTTATTATCTGTCTTTCTATGTAATGCAGGCAGGACTCAAATCCGATAGCTGTCTGCTCTTACTTATTCATTTGTCCGCCTGTCTCGTCTTGTAATGTTAAGGGTTTTGCAGAGACATATAATTTCACATGCAGTGATTTTGCTTTCTAGGATTTTATTTAATGTCCAGGTCTGGCACTGGTAGCAAAATGTTGGTATGAATATTGAGGTGATAAGCTGACTCTTTGTGTCCATGGAGATTTTTGGGTGAGATAGGAGGGGTGCGAGCTGGTAGGGGACAGCGTTGGCATTTTGGGTTCGCCATTCTATTTCTCTGTCTATGGACCCGTTTTCAAAAAAAGGTACTGCCAAGATATTTAAACTCCTTCACCTGTTTCAGTTGTTTACTATTGACATGGGTGTTCATGGAATACGGTTTCGGCTCACTTTAATAACTTGTTTTTGATGTGCTTATTTTCATGTTAAAATTTTCGCAGCTGTTGTGCAGTTCGATAGTGTAAATTTTAAGGCTTTGTTGGTTTGGGTGAATAAGACATTGGTCGTCTGCGAATTTCAGTTCATTTAGGCTTTCTGGGCTTTGGTTTGCGTCTTGCATTATTGTGTCCATATAAATAATAAACAGGAGAGGAGATAGAATGCATCCCTATCGTACTCCAGATCTTACTTTGAACCAGTCTGTATTGCCTTCCTTCGTTCTTACTGAGTTTTTGTTGTTGGGGTATAGAGCTCTAACATGATCTAACATTTGACGCCATACTTTTCGAGTGTCTTCCAGAGTTTTGCATGGTTTACTCTGTCAAAAGCCTTCTTCTGGTCTATAAAGACGATGTTGGATTCTTTGTTGTGTTCGATTGTTTTCTTGCATATCTGTCTTAATGCGAATACAGCATTCGTGCATCCTCTTCCCTTTCCGAATCCAAACTGAGCTTTGCTCAGATTTCTCTCTACAATAGGTCTTATCCGCAGTTCTAATATCTTTGCGTATATTTTCCCTACATGACTTAATTTAGAGATGTCTCTGCACATTGGGCAGTCCCGTTTGTTGTCTTTCTTTTTCTATAATGGGACCACTTTGGCTTTCTGCCAATTTTCTGGGCATTTCCTTAGCTCCCAGGCTCTACTGGAAATTCGCCTTAGCCAAGGTACGCTTTCACTGATAAGTATGGGTGATTTTGTATGTTCCCCATATGACGGTTGGAACTATTCTTGTTTTTGGAGACATGCGTCTCGGTTGAGTAGTTCTTAGAAATATAGTAGTAGTAGTAGTAGTAGTAGTAGTAGTAGTAGTAGTAGTAGTAGTAGTA